AAATACAGCCCGTGTAAGAACCAGCCAAGCAGTGGGGGGGGGGGGATGAAGGAGAGTGGGGAAGCAGGAGCCAGTGCTGGGAGGAGGCAGCTTAAAAGCCGGTTCTCTGCAGAGCCAGCTCCACAATGCTGCCTCCCTCCTCTATTGGTAGAGAGGCAGTAGCATGGGATGGCAGAGGGCTCCCCAGGCGAGGGGCTGGAATGCACTCACTGCTGCCTCCATGCACAGGGACTGTCAAATAGTCATATAACCAAACATATTTTATGGGGTTACACGACTATTCAATTACACAATATCTAACAGTCCTATTTTCTATCATCATTGACCAGGTGCGATCGTCCTGCACAACTGAGTTTGCACTTGTGTGCCACTGCTGATTGAGCAGCAGCAGTTATCTAATAAAATTTATTCCTAGAGCTGCAGTGAAATAATTCATAACACTGCTGAATGAACAAGGACATTTCCGTCACCATGTGAAACAACGGCAGAGTGAAACTCAAAGGAGAAATGTCAGTAGCTGTGGGTGTTCTTGAACCCTGGTTCTGAGGGCTCTTTACACCCAGCATGTTCCAACCAGCCACACAGGTAGATGCTAATTGTTGCCAGAATAGGTACTGAACTGAGACCCTATTTAAACCCAGCAAAGGAACAGGAAGCTGTCCATGCAACAGGATCCACCTTGCTCTTGACTACATGCCTTGGGTTTCCTGCTTCCACTCCCCTGGCTTGACTTTCTGGTATTCCAACCAGGCATGAGTCTGGTTATTGACCTGTGAATCTGCTCTCAAGTTGTTTCCTCCTTCTGATCTCCTGGTAACCTGACCTAGCCTGCCTCCTCACACTTAACTCTCAGTTTGCCCTCTTGCCAGTGTCTGACTCTGACCTAGCTAGCCTGACTTGCAACTCCTGCTTTGACTGCAAGTTAAAAACAGACACATGCTGGTGTTGACAAGAGACAGAAAAAAACTAGGATTTAAGCTACTTTTATACTTCCACCTACTGATACTTAAGACAGCTGAGGACAGATTCACTTTCTATAGAAATGCCTGCTCTCATCTGCACCTACTTCCCAACAGCCTGCCAAGAGCTGTTCTGGGACTTGAGTGTCACTGGAGTTCAGCTATACTTTGGCCATGCCCTTTTTTCATTGTGATATCTCTTATAATTGGTGCTGCAAGGCTGAATAGCATAGGGTAATCTACAACAGTTCTTTATTAATATCATAGTAATATTAATATGATAGCCATGTTATCAGTTACGGTTGCGCCAAAGTGCCAAAAACCAACAGGCCTTCCTTTTGCTAGGCACTGTATAAACATGGGGCGGGGGGACTGTCACTGCACTTAAGAAGTTATTATCTAAACTGGCATGACTGGCAAAGAATTGGTTTACATACAGTTTTTGTAACACTTCAGCTACACCAGTTTAGAAAATAACGTAATTTAAGCAATACAACTCACCACTATAACTGCACACTATTATTAACACTATAACTCTTATGCAATTTTACGAAGCCACGAGCAGATAGTCTTTTCTTTCACTTTGTAGTGATTTTCTTTACTGGAAAATTGAGAAAGCTAACTAAAAATATAAGGGAAAAGTTAAATTTAAGAGATTGAACATCTATCACACTTTTAAGTGGTAAATAATTTACTTTAAATGCTTTCTATTACAAAACATCAGGTTAAAAATTAGAAGACATGCTCAGCCAATTAGTCTGCTTGACCATCTGAACTCTGCTAATCATATTACAGGCAGTCCCCGAGTTACGCGGATCCGACTTATGTCGGATCCGCAGTTACGAACGGGGCTTTTCTCGCCCCGGAGGACTGGAGCGGCGGGACGCCCAGATGCACTGCAGTCCCGCCGCCCCCGTCCTCCGGGGCGAGAAAAGCTGTTCCACGTCTCCCTGGTCTTCTGGGGGCCCAGGGAGACGCGGAGCAAAGCCACGGAGCATGCCCGCAGCAGGACAGCCCGGGCGTGCCTGGGCTGTCCCGCTGTGGGCGTGCTCCAAGGCTTTGCTCCGCATCTCCCTGGGCTGCTGGGGGGGGCGCCCCCCCAGCAGACCAGGGAGACGTGGAGCAGCTTTTCTCGCCCCGGAGGACTGGAGCGGCGGGACTGCAGACTGGAGCAACCCAGCAGCACCCCAGCTGCTCTGCCCCAGGCATCCCCAAGTCAGCCGCTGTGTGATACGATCCATAATGTTATATAAAACATTATAAAACATATATAAAACATAATGTTATATAAGTCCCGGGCTTCCTGGAATCAGCCGCTGATCAGTTTCAGCAGCAGCTGACTTGGGGACGCCTGGGTTTCTTAAGTTGAATCCGTATGTAAGTCAGAACTGGCGTCCAGATTCAGCCGCTGTTGAAACTGATCAGTTTCAGCAGCGGCTGACGCCAGTTCCGACTTACATACAGATTCAACTTAAGAACAAACCTACAGTCCCTATCTTGTACTAACCCGGGGACTGCCTGTACATATATCTATATCTATATCTGAATGGAGTGGGTGGTATGTACTAACAGAACACCTTCTGAAAACAGACTGTTTCCCTGTAAATGCACTAAAGGATAATATAGCAGCAAAACAGATTTAAATTAACCTTTCTCCAGAAAGGAATAGTTGTACTTTTAAATACATTTATACATTATTCAAAGGTATAGCATTATCACCAAATAAAATAGAGCTGCCTAAATTTTGAACATGGAGATTTTCACTTCTTTAGCCCATAATCCATAATGTTTTATATAACATTATGGATCAGATCACACAGCTCGTATTAGGAGTGCTGGAACAATTTGGGGTGATAGCTACTGAACTATACTGTAAACCCTGTATATGATGGAAACCACTTCCAGCCTGTGGGTGCAGCTGTACTTCTAGTTCCACTATCTGTGGGTGGTATAAAAATGGAGTAGCTCTATTTCCACTGTGGGCACTATAGCAATTTATACCAGCTGAGTACCTTGCCCCAATATTTCCAATATAGGCATACAATATGCACTACACAAGGCTGTCAATTTTTTAAAACTAGAATGTTATAATTATAGACACAGATTATGCCCATACATTCCATTTTGTACAGAAAAAAAAACTATATCTTACCAAGGACAAACTCCAGCTTTGACTCATTTTCAGTCTTCTGAATACCTTTTAATATAAAAAAAAACGGAAATATGTAAATTCTCGTTCCATATACTAAACCTTAACTTGCTTAGGTAACAATATTTTCTTGCCATTGCTGGAGGCATCTACCAATTTTTTAATGTTTTTAAAGGAAACTATATTCTAGAAAAGAACTTTTCACAATGTGCCTGTAGATCAACAAACGCCCGTGAAGTTTGTCTTGTTTACATTTTTTGAAAGATCACTTTGCTTTTACCTTGTATCTGCAGGTTGAAGAATTAAAATTAATTAAAAAAAAGAAAACTTTTACTAATATATTCTGTCTGATAAACACAAACATAAATTTATTTTAAATAAGTTTACTAATACACCACTGCACAATTGCCTAAATCTCTCAAAATTATGGTATGTAATGATTCATTTTAAATGCATAAGCCAGCACAACATATATTGCAACAAAAATTTCCACATTTACTCAATGAATATAAATCAGGTTAATAAAAGCAGAATGTTATGTATGATCAAGAAATTGTAGTGCAGGGGTAGGGAACCTCAGGCACAGGCTCACAGCCCCACTCCAACCCTCTGCATTGGGGAAATCTGCTCTCAGCATTGGGGAGCCCATGCTGGTGCTCCAGCCCTAAGGGTGGGAGGCAGGGGGGGTGCCTCCTCCCCAGGCTATGGTGTGCAAGAGGAATGTGGGAAGTGTCTTTCTACTTCTCAACTGGGTGCCACATCAGTGAGAGATTTCTGTGTGCAGCCCTCAACTAATTTTCTGTGGGTCGTTGGCCCTCGACCAAAAAATGTTTCCCACCGCTGCTGTAGTGCAACAAAATTGCCATGATTTTGTTTGTGAAAGATGGGAAATTCCCCTTTTCTTATCCTGACTATGATTATACTATACTCCATTGCATTTTAGAAGTGTGCTTTGATGTTGTATTTTCAATGGCAACATGTTCTCAATCCACCAGGATGTGAGAGGAACCATTAGTTGACAGCTGACCAATGAGGAGAATGAGGGAAACAGGTCAAGTAACTAGGAGTTTGCTCAATCTCCACAAAAGGTAAGTGGAGAATGGCTGCAGTACTGATGGACACATAGTAACTGTCTCCCGTTGCTACTATTACTGAAGAAAGGCTAAAAAAGAAGGGGCTATGCCAACATGGAGAGGAATGTGCATGGAGGTTGACTGAGAAGGAGGTTTTTGGCTATGAAGTGAAAAAAGATATTTTAAAAAAATGAAAGACTGTATTTTCTCAACAAAAGTTTCAAGTTGCAGAATGAAATACCCTGGAGAGCTTACAGTAGCAATGTTTAAAAATGTCTTTGTGAACTACACATCATATTTTTCAAAAACATAACCGTTAACTGCTCTGACAACTGTATTTCACAAAATTCAAGAGCCCAATCCTCATTTTCAGCAGACTGGTTGACACATGGTGGCAAAGTTGGATATACATTTGACATGAGTAAGTAACTTACCAACTGCAAAACATTAAAAAGGACTCAGTTTCTTAACTAACTGACAATTTTTCAGAATATAGTATACTGAGCAGGAATTACCACACTGCTAGGTGCCTCCAAAGAACATTCTATAGTTCTAATGTATATGGTACTGCATTATGGTTGTGTTAATGTATTTTTCTTTCAAATTTAAGAGTTTTAAAATCTTATTAAAAATCAATAAAAATCAAAATGTTGTCATCACACTCTTCATTCCTCCCAAGGAGATTATTTTCATAAATCTAAAACAGCAATAATGTTTAAATAAAATATTAATCACTTTATTTCCTTTTGTATAGCTAAATGTCAGTCAACAATTTAAATTGTATCATAGATTCAACATGTCCATTGATTTATGCAATTACAGAATTAGGAGCATTTTTAAAAATAGTATTTGTATATAACGTCAAATAAGGAGTATGGAACTCTTACTTGTAAACTGAGGCTCCCTAATACTGTCTGCCTGTGTTGCAGGAAGAAAATGTTGTGCTTCATCTGATGTTCTCTCCTTTTTGATTTCCATGATCAGTCTCCAAAGCTGCTGAATTTTGTTCTGCAAACTTTCCAAGTTTGTTCTTCCAAGTGCCACAATCCCAGATTCACACACTGATTTAGATGCAGCTTCAAGGTAAAGATCAGGTTCTCCACTCAAACTCTGAATTCAGAAAATATTAAGACACTTTTTAGGAATGCAGTTATTATGGGTAGGTTGGAGATCATGGCAGGATTGATACTATATATAATACACACTCTTATACACCTATTCTGTCTCTCAAAAAACCACACACACACACACACACCGTTCACCTCTTGCATCAAGCCCCTATTGCTTCCCATTCAGTGAACCACTAAGTGCATGCTACATAGCAGTTCCGAAAGCAGTTAATGTACTGGAAAACTAGGTGACAATCATCAAATTGAAATGGGAAATCCTTTTTTAGTTTGGATTCTACTGCACAGCAGGTAGCTTTCAGGGCAGCCAACATAAACAATAATTCTACTTAATAGAAACAGCAGATAGCATTCTGACAAAGGGACTGATGGGATTCTCTAGGTGAATATGGACATGTCTTCTATTAAAACTGTATACTTTATGCTCAGCTTCTCATCTATTCCTTCCAGTATACTGATAATCAATATGCAGAGATTATTTAGGATGACATTATTCCTCCATGAGGAGACAACAGGTTGTAGGTGAGAGCTTCCAACCTCACAACGATGCACAAGTTCACGGCTATCCATTATGACAAAAGTGTGAATTATTCAATGATCATACTTTAAGAAAAGGGAAGAAAAACCATTTAGGCTCCCAGGAAAATGCAGGTAACATGTGCCACTCATTTGATTAAAGCTAGTGAAGAACAAATTATCTAGTGTGTTTAAAAATCTGACTTTATATTAGAGTCAAAAATAGAAAAGAGAGGAAAGGATTAAGTCATTTAGCTTAGGCAAGTATTGGTAACCCTCAAATAACAATTGACAAATTGTTACAAATGGATAATATCATTAGGGAAAACATAATTAACATTATAACAACATGTCTATAGAAATATAGAAATAATCATTAAGGCAGCTTGGATATCAAAGTTACTATGCTTGAGAAAAAATTACCAAAAAAACCAAGTGCAACAAGTTTTATAACTAAAATGCAAACCTATTAAAATACTTAATTTGAAGCTAAAGAGGAACAGTGATTTTGCATACAAGCATTCTGCCGCCAGCCAGAAAGAAAACACCTGCTTATATTTACCTCTTAGCTGTGACAGTCAGAATTGCCATATGCTAAGCACTTAAGTTAAGGCATACTGTATCATTGAATACACATGAACCTAAAATGGACACCATAAAATGGGTGTGTGTGTTTGAGGGATGGGAA